CCCGGTCCTCGGGGGAGACCTTGATCTGGAGGAGGTGGGAATGGGGGGTGGGCTGGGGGGAGGGGTGGGCGAGAGGGGGAGAACAGGGGATTCTGTGGCTATTATGTTGAACTGAATGGTGTTGTAAAATAATAATAATAATAATAATAATAATAATAATAAAAACAAAAAAAAAACTGTTTGGGTAAAAGAATATATGGTGTGACACACAGCAGTTCCCAATGCCATTACAATGAACAAATATGTGATGGACAGATAGGAATACAGAGCAGTGAACTGGTCCGAGTATGGTAGAATTGGAGACTTGACAGCTGTGAATGGTATGAGAGAAAATAGGTGATTGATAGCAGAGCTTGACATTACCAAGAGTGGTCAGTGAGATATTTGTTTTTTGTTTTTGTTTTTACTTTTATTTTCTTTTGAGTGGCAGGATACAAACATGGAGGGTAGATATGAAAGGACAGGGAAATGTGTGGAACTGATATGTAAGATAGGAAATTCCCAAAGAATCAATAAAAATATGTTATAAAAATATGCTAAGGCCTAAAATAACAATGATTTTGCAAAAGTAACAAAAATAATAATTGAATGGGTCATCAATAAAGAGACATGAAAGTTATAAACGAGAACTGTAGGGAATGGGGGTCACTAAATGTGAGAGGAGATCAAAGAAGGCAAAAGGTTTCAATGAGCAGAATATAATTTACGCATCTTTGAAATTTCTAAAGAACAAATTCAATAATAAATTCATACAAAAAACACAAACAATCCCAGATAATCAAAGCCACCTTGGAAAAAGATAGTACCTTATTTCAAGTTATACTACAGAGACAGAGTAATGAAAACAGCATAGAACTGACACAAGACAAACATATGGATTAACTGAATAGAAAACCAAGACATAAGTTCACACAACTGCAGGCACTGTATTTTTGACAAAATATCAAAAACATGCATTGGGCCAGGCAGCAGTGGTGCACACCTTTAATCCCAGCACTCGGAAGGCAAAGCCAGGTGGATCTCTATGAGTTCGAGGCCTACCTGATCTACAGAGCAAGATTCAGGACAGGCACTAAAACTACACAGAGAAACCCTACCTTGAAAAATCAAAAAAAAAATGCATTGGAAGAAAAATGGGATCTTCAGTACATGGTATTTTGGAAACTGGATAGTTATGTATAGAAGAATGAATTTAGATCTTAATCCTTTATCACACATACACAATACACAAATTCACACACACACACACATACACACATACACACATTCACAGCAATCATAAATGTATCGAGACCCTCAACAGAATACACAAAACTATAAAACTGCTTGAGGAAAATACAGGAAGTGCACTTTGAGAGGTAATCACAGGTAAGGACATTCTAAATGCTACTCATCTCACTCAGAAAATAAGGCCAGTACTCAACAAGTGGGATCCCATGAAATTAAAAGATTTTAATCGACCAAAAGAAATCATTAATCGTGAAGATTCAGCTAATTAATAAAATGTAAGAAAGTTTTCTGAGTTATATGCTCCCAGAAAATATGTATCTAGTATCTACAAAGAAATAACAATGATAAAATATTCAATGTGAAGAAAAAAATGGAGCAAAACCTGTGCTATGGAACTAAAAAGTATACCATAAAAGAAAGATAGTGCTTCATATGTATTTTCAAAGTGTTCATCATCATTATCCATCAAGGAAATACAAACAGAAACTAAAAACTATTTAGGACTACATCTTATTTGTCAGAATGGCCACTCTTATTAAAAAGTATATATGCCACAGTTGTAACATAGAGAAAACCTGTCTCAAAAACAAAGACAAAAATATAAAAAAAAACAAGTAAATGTTTGAAGTGTATATTGATAATGTTTAAGAAGAGAAGAAAATTTAAGTATAAAGGGATGAGAAACGAGTAGATGCAGATAATGGACAGGACTGTTGAAAGAGAAAATAGGCTAATGTTTTTCTAGTTCTATATTTCTCATGGATTTGGGGGTTTTGTGGTCAAATATTGAGTGAAATATAAACAATATTTAAAGTATAACATTTAATATGAAATTTCCCAGCTTCTCTTTTGGATACCAATTCTAAATGTATGCAAGAGTCTCAATAATTTGGGTAAATCCTGTTTTTATTTATGTGTGAATTGCTTTATAATAAAATTTCGTTTTTATTTTTTTTAATTTTCAGAAAAAAAATTCAGGAATTAAAAGCACTGGTGTAAGTGGACACTATACAGCCATCATTTAAATGACTATGGTATGCATTCAAATGCTTTAAACAGAAATTTCATATGATCCAGCGATCAAATCTTAGGTATATATACAAACTAGGTAGGTATAGACTACTATAGACTTTGGTATATACAACCACATAGGTACTTGAACATTTGTGCTTATTGCAGCTCTATTCACAATAGCTACAAAACAGGTTTAGCCTAGATGGTAATCAATTGAAAATAGATGAAATTATGATATGTACACACAAAAAATTTTCACTGAACTCTAAAGATGAAATTAGAAAATTCTCAGTAAAATAGTTGGAACTGGAAAATATACTTAATGAGGTAACACAAGCAAAGATAGAGAAACACTGAATCTTTTATGTCATACTTGGATCCTAGACAAATTCTTAGCATGTTTACTTTGATGTATATATAAAGGAGAGGAAGGCAGAAAGGATCCATTAGAAGAGTAACAAGAAAAAATAGACCTTAAGGAGAGAGAGGTACCAGGACACATATGGTATCAATATGAAGGAAGGGAATATAAGACTGATTGTGTTGATGCAAAGATGGGGTGGGTAAATTAGGGATATAATTAACCAAAACCAAGAATATAAGAAAATGCCATTAGTTTGTAAGCTCATTTAAAAATTTATTAAAGAGTTTAAATCAAGGCAGCTTTCATGAGCAGATACTACTGCTCCCAGAAGCTATTGGTTTAAAAATGAAAACTCCATTGCTATTATTGGGATACCTCCCTAAGAGTTGTTGCCTGAAATGAACCTGAGGCAATTGTTTAGGCAACTGTCACTGTTGTCAGTTGCCCACAAAAACTAGTTGGTAAGACCCTATTTCTAAAGGCAACCTTATAGTCATATCACCGAACATAAGGAAAACAAACTGAGAATGAACTGAAATATATCTTTCTCCTGAGTAGCTCTCATTGTTACTGAAGGTTTTATGTAGGCTACTTTTGGGAGATTCTTGTCAATAATATTACTCAGCTATGGACATTGATATCTATACTTCAACCATCCATACAATATATGCCCACTGATGTAATAATGGCAATTGTGGTATCAGAGTAAAGCATCATTTTCTGATTGAGAAAAATACACATCTCATACAATCAATATGGTTAACTGTGCATGTCGGGGAGGGAATAGGTCCTAGTGATGTTGCCATCACTGCTGTTCTGCTCACCACAAGCTATATCATCTTCATTAGTACTGGAAAAACTAGATACTCCAAATATTGACAGGATGGTATGCCATGGGTCAAGCCGTAGCTGTGCCATTAGGCAGTGGCTTGTGAGAACAGGAAGACTTCACAATTAGGTTTATAATGGTAACGGTCCTTAGATCAAGAGATTGGTAGAGTTTAGAGGGATAAGCTGGAGGCAAGAGAAAATTACAAAATATACGAAAGGCTAAGATGTAACCAAGATAGATAACAAAAATGGCATTGGAAGTTGAACCTCAACATTAAATAAACAGAACATGGTAGTGGTTGCTTATTGTCTTATAACTCATGAGGTAGATGGAGGAAGAACAGACCTTCAAGGCAATCCCTATCTGTATAGAGAATTCAAGACAGGCCAGCCTAAGCTAGATCACACCTTGTCTTCACAAATGTATCTCAGCCTCCCTGAACCCCTATATTTAAACAGGACACTCACCATTTCCTTTGAGGAACCATTCAAAGTAAGTTGTTAGTGACTCTGGCTTCTTAATAAGGTTTGACTTATACCAGAAAAAATAACCAGACACAAGAACATCTCTGGGATTTCTGATGACATAGATTGCCTTGAATGGAAAAACATGCAAATGAAGGTCAATATAGTATAAACCACCTTATATCTGTCATAGTTCATATGAAATGTTAATCGAATATCAATGAGGTTTCTAAAAGCATTTGTTATTTTTATTTGGAAGAAATGTAAATAGAAGTGCAAAATATCTATATTTATAAAAATCTTTTATAATTTTATTTGATTTACAAAAGTGTAACAGAAAAATGACTACGGTTGCTAATACTGAAAAAAAAAAGCCAAGATTGATTCAATACTTGTAAAGATCAATAGCTTACTGTGAGAAAGACTAACTATCCACTGTGAAAGAATATCTTATATACAAAGAGTAATTGATACTGTGCTAAAGCTATGTGAAAAATGACAAACTAATTGGTTTCTATAACTTTAATTATGAAGAAAACTCTAAAAAGAATCATGATGCAGAGTTTAATGCTAGTGTTTCACTCCACAATGGTGAATACAAAAACCCATGAGCTCATAAAAAAGTGCTGAGATGGAGAGAAATAGACTTCCCCTGGGAAAAGCACAGCAACTGGTTATGCAATATCAATTTCTTAGCCCTGAAAACATACATACAGGTAACATTGTGCCTACTGAGCAGATCGTACAAAGATTCTTAGAAATATGTAGATAAATACACAGATGTAATAAAAAAAGAACATAAATTTGAAAGAGAGAAAATAGTGGTATAGTAGTAAGCCTGGAGTGAGGAAGAGAAAGGGGGAATAATGTATATAATTATAGTATAATCTCAAAAATAGAAGAAATAAATTAAAAAATAATTTTAAGGAAATTAAATTAATATTTTGTATCAATGCTCATTTTGACATTATTATATAATTCATCTTTTAGACCTTAATTTCTCCAGACACAAGTTTCCTAAATCCAGATAAGACACACATACATAGTTTAATGGTTACAACTTCATTGTGATAGTTTCAAAAGAGATTATTTTCTATGTTTGTCTTTATGGTTTAAGCATAAATACTTATAGGTTCTAAGGTGGAGGGATTTCCAAAAATCTTTCTAATTAACAACAAGCTATGGTAAGTCAGAACCTGTAAGTTTCTGATTCCATCTGGAGATCCTTTTTCAGTGATGTCAGTGATTCCTGTGACAATTGATCTCAATGGACAGCTAGACACAGCAAGACACAGTGGATACAGATAAGCCATGATTGTTGAACAATCTCCCAGATTACAACATTAGTGCCTGGTCAGGCTGCTTCCCCTATAAACAACTCTACTTGGGTGATTCATCCATTTGACATGGGCTATATGTAGAATCAAGATTAGCTAATTGACTTTTATCACAGCAAAACAGTAGTATCCACTGTACACTAGAATTTGAACTCACCTTGACCTGTATGTGTAGTCCCTAAATACCATGCTGTGATAATACAATTTTTTTCATATATATGACCAGGATCACTGATAGATGGTTGATATCCTAGTACTCTGATATAGTCTGAGAAGGGGACACATTAGCATCACCTAGTGTCTGAGAATACCAGCTTTCCTCACCAAATCTACGCAGAGTGCATTTCAGGCAGATCTCCAGGGCCCATCATGGTAGAATAAGTTAAATGTGCATTTGGCCAAAGTATTCTCAACCACTGTACACTGACCTTGGCTTTGGAACTGAAGAAAGACTTGGGGAAAAGATGAATAGGGAGGTGGGAGCTCATGAGTCGTGGTCCTTCCTTATTGATTAATAGTGGATATCCGTTTTGAGTCTCTATCCAGGGTGAGCGTTCCCAGATGGGCACAGATTGGATCCATTTGGGATTCCCCTTGGTCTGAATCAAGCAGACAGTCTCAATCAGCCAGTTAGTTCCTGAACAAGAAGCAAGAGTTATTGTCATTCATTTCAAGAGCACTTGTGAAAAGCTTTAAATAGAATTTACAACCATATAATTTACACTGCAGCTGTTTTCAATCACAAAGGCAAGTGGTATTCACAATATTCGCATGGTATACATACAAAATATATTCTTCCAGCACACTCAAAATGCTTCACCTAACAAAACTAAGAATCTTTACTCAGTAAACTCCACCTGCCTATTGAACATCCCCCTTTTTTCCTAAATCATCAGCATTCTACTTCCTGGTTCAGTGAATTCAACTATCACAGATATTTGTCAGGGATGCAGTCATGGAATCTGTCCTTTAGATGGGATCCTTTCATTTAATACAATGTCATTAAGATGCATCCATCCCACAGTGTATATATGAGTACTGCTTCTCTTTTGTAAATAAATTCCTTTGTGTCTAATCACCATACACACTTGTATTTGTGAGTGTATGCTCATTTGTCTGTGGGTGTTTCTCTAGCTTTATTCTTTGGACTATAATTTGAATCCTTTTCCTGCAGTTTATTGGCCTTGAATTTTCCATGTTATTGCCCTTTGATGTTAGCAACCTAATATTTAACCAATGTTTACTGCTTCAGCCACCCACCAATACCCCTCCCCCAAATGACCATGAAGCCTTTCTTGGTTACTTGAGTTTTGAGAATCTTTCCTCTACCTGGAGAAGGTCCATGGTAATTCTTCTAACTGACATTGTCCCCTCCTCCACATATTCTTACATTCATGCCTTTTTCTCTTGATGCTATTTCATGTTTATCCTCATCATTATCTCTCTTCCACTCTCTTCCTTACAGAGACAAACCAATGCCAGAATCTGCTTTAGGAAATATTGTCATTGTTCAGTAGTAGTGCTTGAGCTGCCACTCTGACTATACAGATTAGGTTAGAGATCTTCCGCTGAGTAGAAACGCTCTCAGATACAGCTCTTCATGACCACAAATCACTGAACACATGAGATATGTAAAGCATTCCATTCGCCACCCTAATGAATGACTATTAAAGCCCTAGCCTTCCACAGACAGTAGAGAATCATTCTCAATGATGTTTCTTACCTGACTTTGGGTAAGTCAGTATGACTGTGTCTTCATCTCTGATCACAAACTTATCACGACTTTCTTCAAGTATTTTCTTTTCATATCCTAAAGCAGGGAAAGGTATTCCTTCAAACCAAATGTAGTCTGACATCCCAAAGAACTCTTTCTTGATGCTGTGAAAATTCCAGTCTTGGCCACCTGTTCAGCTTAAAGCAAATGCTGAGAGGTAAAACTTATAGTGCAGGCAAAAAAATCATTCGCATCCCAAAGTTTGTTCTGAAATGAGCTGCTGGTAGGAAGAAATATAGATTGCAGCAACCAGTCAAAGGTTGCTGTATTAAGCAACTGTGAACTTATTCAGAGATTGTTCTGGAGAACTTTGAGCCTGAGGTCATTACCCCAAACCAGAAACTCAAAAACAAGAATTTAGACATAGAAATAGGGCTTAATTTAAAATAATTTCTAATAGACTCAGCTTTCAGAATGGTTTAAAATGGGCAAAAAATTACAAAGATCATAAAAAATGCTGTCCTGAAAAAAAATGTTGTCCTGTACAATAATTTTTAAAAGTAGGGATTGTTTTTGATAAACTCATAGTGCCTTCACTGTACCATATGATCCTCACCCTCTCTTTTCTCCTCCATTGCCTTCCACCCTTTCCTGTATTCATGATCCTTTCTTTAATTTTCACTGCCATGTTTACATGATCACATGTTTATATAACCTACAAAGTCCATTTAGTTCTTTTCTGTATGTGAATATATCCTTAGATGAGCACTTAGGATTGAACACCAATATGGGATTCACCCTCCTGAGGCAGCTGACTCAACTTCCCTCTTTCAGCAGCCAATGACCTGCTGCATTTCTTCTTCTAAGGATAAGATGATGTAAAAACTTCCCCTGTCCTTGTTAGGGTAACAACTGGTACCATTATGATGGTTCATTAGGGTAAATATACTGTTGAGAGTTCATAGGTGTATTTTTTTTCTGTCATGTCTATAGGATATATGTTATTAGCAGATATCCTCAGGGTCTGTGGGCATTCTGTCCCCTATTCTGTATTTTTCCCAATCCTTCAATAAAAGGGATTCATTGTAAGTAAGTTTTGCAACTCTGAGTTTGTTTCTGGGCTTTGGCACCAAATTATGAATTTTGCAACTCTGGGGGGCGGGGGGGGGGAGGCATCCTGACTATTTTGGGAGTCAGGTGACACCTTGAGCTTCTAGGACAGCTCTGACAGTTGGAGTTGCAATGAGAAAGCTCAGCCCTGGAGGGTGAGGTATCCTGGATACCTCAAGTGCTAGGACAGCTCGGCCCTGCAGATATCCCAGATACCTCGAGCTACTTAGGACAGCTCTGCAGTGGAGGGAAAGGTATCTCAGAAAAACCTGAGATGCTAGGACTGCTCTGATGGCTGGAGCTGCAATGAAGCAGGTCAGCCCAGAAGGGAAGGTATTCTGACTGTTTGGATGAGTTGGGCCTGGAGTTGCTAGGACAGCTCAGCAGGGAAGGGTATCAAGAGTCAGGCAAGACCTAGTGTGGTGGGGGAAGTTCTCCCTACAGGATTTAACAATCCTGCTCCTCTTCTGCAGAGCCACTACAGCTGAGCTTTGCTCAGCCCCCAGTTAATGGGGGTTCCTAGCTGAGCTCCAATCCCCTTCCTAAAATGTTTTTTTTGCTTCACTCTGCAAAAAGTGAAAGCTCTGCTGAAATGTAGCAATTTCCTTCAGCTCCAGTGAAAAGTTCTTACTTTTTCAGCTCCCATTTGCTCAGTCCCCTGAGAGTAGTCTCAGCAAGGTCCCTCTGTTCATCTCCCCTTGCTCAGCTCCCTGAAGGATGTCTTAGCAAGGTTCTTCTCTTCAGCCCTGCCTTGCTCTTTCCCCTGAGAGTAGACTCAGCAGGGTTCTTCTCTTCAGCTCCTGCTTGCTCAGCCCCCTGAGAGATGTCACAGCAAGGTTTATTCTGTGCAGCTCCCCCTTGTTCAACCCCCTGAGGTATATCTCAGCAACATTCTTCTGTTCAGCTCCACCTTGCTCAGCCCCCTGAGAGATGTTTCACCCAGGCTTTTTTTCTCAGTCTACTATGGAATATCTTAGCAATTATCTTCTCTGTGCTTGCAAATGAGTATCTTCACACCCAAAACTATTTGGGGAAAGAAATTTATTTGGGAAAGAGGAGTTCAGGAGTGTGGCTGACTCTAACAGGGTGGAGAGAATGCTCACAACTGAACAGGCAGGGTAGTTTATGTAGATATCCTGGGGATGGATTCAACCAAGGATTGGTTAATTTTTGTTTGTTTGTTTTTTCTGCTCATGGATTGTTTAGTTTTGTGGATTAGGGGCAGAAATGGCCCTGATCTCAGAGTTTCAGAGTCAGGGCATGTTTCTTTGGTTCTAGGTGTGTGAATAAAGTATTCCTTTCTCTGGCTCAGGTCTCAGATTCAGAATGTGTTTCCTTGCCTGGTTATGTTCTCCAGGGTCAGTGTGCTTACTTTATTGTTCTGTGATTGGTTGATTTCACTTGTAGTTGCCCAGGGACAAAGATGGCTCTGATCTTAGAGTCAAACTGTGCTTTATTCACTGGCTTTTCTTAGCTTTTTTATTCTAATTCTAAATCCAGGGTATATTTCTTCCACTGGCTCTGATTCTAGGTAACAAGAGTGTTTCTTTGATACTGGTTTCCGAGTCAGGACATGTTTCTTGGGTTCTGGGTTTGGGGACAATGTTTCTTTCTCTGGCTCCTGTCCCAGATCCAGGTTGTTTTTCTTCCTGGTTCTGGGCTTTAGAGTCAGGATGGGTTCCCTACATTCATTGCAGATGTATCAACTGGAGTTGGGTACTTTACAGTGAACTATTTGTGGAACTTTGTGATAGTCTCCTTATATTGCAAAAAGAAGCTTCTTTGATGAGGGGTGAGAACTATATTTATCTGTTTGTATAACAATAGGTATTGAAAAAACAGCTAGAATGTATACTGGTTTGGGAAACTGGCAGTAGCAGGTTCACCTCTTGGCTCTATGACCTCTCCATGCCTAACTGTTTGTCTATGTTTACAGTACCAGACATGGCTTACCTCTTGTTGAATGTGCTTAAAGTCCAACTAGACAGTCCTTGAAACCTCTAAGATGAAAGTTCCACTATTTCACCATTGTGAATGTCTTGCTAATCCAGTAATTGTTGTGGCTCCCAGATATTACATCCAGATAGGTCTAGTGATTTTTCCTTTCCCTTGGCAGCTTTTCACTTTATGAAAGCCACATTTCAGGAAAGAGATCCCATGTCAGTTTCAGTTCAATTCCCTCAATTTCTGTGTCTGAAATGTGCTGAGGCTTTACCACCATAATTGAATCTTCAAGTTTTGTGAAGCAATCAAGGGCAGCACTAGCTGATACTGTTTTAGAGGAAGTCTCTTGGTTTATCCTGACCAACAGCTTGAGAGGAGATTTCTCATGCAAGATACTTGGCTTTTCTTATATATTCCATGGCATTTGGTGGAATATAATCACTACTAATGGCATATCATCTTTAAAATGCATGCTAATATATGCATATTATTTGTGATTGTAGATAAATATGAAATGATAAGATTCTTTCTTTTCAAACATCCTTACTTTGTACTTAATATTTATCTCTCCTTCCACTTAGATACACTGTATTGTACTCTGTGACCCTTTATCAGTTAAACTCCCCATCCATTTATTCCATTTCTCCCTTTGTAGTACCTGCATGCTATTCCAGTATCTAGAGATGCTTTACCAAATGGTCTCATTTTTTTCTCTTTGTTCCTCAGTTGATTGAGGTTATAAACTCATATCTACAGGTTCAAAGCCTGAAAGGACAAATAAGAGAGAACATTTAATATTTCTATTTCTGTGTCTGTATTCACCATTCAGTATAATGCTTTCTAGTTCAACACATTTGCCTGAAAAGATCATAACTTCATTTTCCTCCATACCTGACTAGATGTCCATTGTATGCATGTATTTATTGGTTGCAGGACATTTAGGTTGTTTTTCTTTCTTAGCTACCATGAACAGAGAAGTAATGAACGTAGCCAAGGGAGTATTTGTGAATTAGGATATCAAGTTCTTTAAACCAATGAGTAATATCTTTGAGCCAAGTAATCAATTTTCCTCACTGATTTCCAGAGGAGTTTCCTATCACACTAAAAGCGAAGGAAGGTACTTCTTTCCCCACACCTTCACCAGAATTGATTCTCATCAGCATTTGCTCTTGATTGTTTGTGTGATGATAGTGATTCTGGCTGAGTAAGATGAAATCTCAAAGAAGTTTCAATTATCATTTTATGAAGTTTAAAGATGTTGAAAATTTAAAAATATTTCTTAGCCATAGACATTTTAATTTCCTCTCTTGAGAACTTTCTGGTCAGAAATGTCTTCCATTTTTTAATATAGCCAAGTTAGTAAAGAGATCATTCTTTTATCCGACAGTTCTGTATATTTAAATTCTTTTCATATATTTTTATTAATAATTTTCATGTAAAATATTGTGTTCATAATTTACACCAAACTGCAATGCCTTCCATATCCTACAATATCAACTTTATCCCTCTCTTAATAAAAACACAAACACAAAGAAAATACAAAGAAAAAATGAAACCAAACAAACATAAAATGATACACTCCCCCAGACACACCAAATAAACATGTTGTTTGTTTTGTGTTGGCCATCTATACCTTAGTATGAGAGCTGTCATGGAATATGGCTGATACACCCAGTGACACTGCATTGGAGAAAACCTAATTACCCTTTCCTAAAAGGTATTAATTACATACATCTTCTTGGTTAGGAGTGAGACATTGTGTACAACTGTTTTTCTCTGTGCTGAAATGTTGTCTCATCTAACCTGTAAAATTGTGCATGCTACTAGTCTTTATGAGATACTATATGCACTAACCCTCTTGTGTCTGGAATATTCTGTTCCATTGAGTTCATTCAAAACCTCTAGCTCTTACAATCCATCCATATCTTGTTCTTCATAGATCTTAGAGTCAAGGGTAGATGGATTTTATGAAGATATCCTATTTTGGAATGATTTCTCCGAGTCCTTTACTTTCTGCACTTTGTCCAGTTTTAATCTCTGTTAATTAAAATCTATTGCAAAAAATGTAGCTTCTCTGATGACAGTAGAGTGATGCCTCATTGTATGTGTATACAAATATTTCATCAGGACTAATATTATTGCTGTTTTATTTAACAGAATAATAGTTATGAACTTTCCCATAAGTTCAGGACGAATCTAGGATCAGGTTTTGTCCGCCTTATCAGTGTCAGATGAGGGTTCC